GAATTTTTGCATTTTAAAGCATATGTCCAACTGGAATTAGGATCAGAATAGTTATTAGCTCAAATACCTGCAATAGGATCTAAGATTTTGAGTGCAGTGTACCGTAGGCTATGAAAGCTGCACTGAGGCAGCACCATCAAAAGGGCTCTGGAGCTGGCTGTGTCAGGAGGACAGAGGCTGGTCCTGCCAAGATCTCCAAATGCATGTTGTCCTCTGATTAATGTAAAAGATTCAGCTCCCTGGAATCTCTTAGGAGGTCTGATGTGAGAATTGACATTTAACTTCCTGAAAAGCATTTTGGAATTACTTGTCTGGCACTTTAAGTAGCCACAAAATATTGGTAGTGTACAATCATCCTGAGGCAGAGAGCACAAGTTCCTGCAAGACAGGAATTGTTAAGCTAGTGCTCTTTCAATAAAATTTGGGGAAGGTTAAGGGCACTCCAATGTTGGTACTTACACAAAGAATATTGAGAAAAAAAATTAAAATTAGGAAATAAATAGTAATCATTATTATTAAAGGACATATTCAGGTACCATAGACTGCTACTGTCAGTCTGTAGCTGAGAAAGCAAGAAGTCCTCACTTGAATGCTACCACATTAAGCACCTTGTGGATCAAAAGCATGCTGTGTGTTAGAATTACTAACAATGTTACACAAAATTAAACAAATTGGACACGTTTTGGAACATATGGCAATTTCTGCTAACCTGCCTCTCTGTTGAGTCTGCCTTCAGACCATACTGGTTGTGAGCAGCCCCTTAAAATGCATTTGGTTTTCCCTTTAAAATCTTTTAATCATGGCTGTTCTCAAAGATACTGCACTTAATTCAGGGAACAAATGGCCTCCTGTGGTATGGCAATCATTGTATTCTTGTGATACTAACGGAATGGAGATTTTGTAAAACCTTATCATTATCCTTCAAATTACTTCATCTAGGCCAAATAACAGATATTTCTTCATCAAGTATCAGCCTAGTATGTAGCCCCCTAATTCTATGAAAGACAGATGGACAACAAGTTTGATAAAATACATTTTCTGTAGAACTGCCAATTTCCTTCCCTATGTTTTTGTTCTTCCAGTGTTTCATCAGTTTCTGTTGTTAGCTTGTGAATGTCACTATCTTCTTTGGGAAGTTACCTAATCTATCCCAGTGCTTTAGACTTGCTTGTTTCACAGGGATTTGAATGTTATTTTCCACAGCACTCTGTGAACTTTTTTTACCTCCACGCATTTTTCTTTCTAAACAAGTGATCCATACGTTAGAGCAGCAAACTGAACTAGCTGGTGTGCTCTTATTCCCAGTTAGTTCCCCTCTTGCCTATAAGGACTGGATCTGGATTCTCCAATTCAGAAACATGGAAACGGTGATTATTTTCTCATCTAGTATGTGCAGTTACTTGTGCTTAAATAAAATCTGGTTTAGATCCAGAAAGTGGCTGCCATAGAGGCTTCTAGAAGGAATTTTGCTCTTGAAAGACACAGAGTAGAGAAAAAAAATAAACTATTATGATAATTTCTAGTTACTGCTTGCTGTCTCTTCTTGACCAAAGACAGCATTGACCTGGTAGGATGCCTCCTGTCAGTGTAGAAAAACATCTTATGGGTCTCTTGACCCCTCACTCTAGGTTATTCAATTATAACCCTCAATGACAAAGGCACAGATACCTGGCTGTGTCTCAAAGGTATTAAATTCCTGTAACCAGCCTCACAACAAAACCTCAAATACTTGGCTCTGATAGATGGTGTTATAATGAGGGTGGAGCTCAGTTCAATGGCCAATTTATTGCATCTTAATGGTCTAATGTGCTTTTATTTCATATCTAGGACAGCAAATGCTGCCATAAAGTTTGGTTTAAAGCAGGTCTGTTTTGCAAAACAAGTCTTGCATATAGAACAAAACACTCATTGTTTCTTTACTGTTTAAACCTTTATTGTTGTTTTTTTTTCTTGGTACAATGGGCTTTTATGCACCAAACAGCTGTGTTCATCATGTTTATTTAGAAGGCATCCATTGTAGTGGAAAAAGTCTGGAGGACAAAAATCTTGAAGTACAAGACTACTCTGTGGGTGCTGGCACTTTTATTTTTTTTCTGTCCTGTTCCTTTGGTCAGTATGCAAGTCACATACACAGGCAGTGCCATGCAGACTTGCAAACCCTGTATAATAGCAACTTTTCACAAGCGCTGTCTCTTATTCCAAGTGTTTTTCTCCAGAAAGTTTCAATTGCAAGGCAACGTACAGGACACACAACTATTTTACACCCTATGATCCTATCATTTTTCAATCTGTTGCTATTTTGGACCCTCATTAGGTCACTTTCCAAATATTGTGTACAGCTATGTGTCAATCATTGTCACAGCTCAGCTCCAGGCTAAGCCAACCCAGGACAAAACCGTGAGGAGAAAAAAATGCCAACCAAAGCAAGCACTGTGTAGAAAACAGTCAACAGTTTGACTGTGGAAAGCTATGTGTTGTTCCAAAGATAGCATAAGCCCACTTGCTGCAGAAACAGCATACAGTACTAATGCTCTCCAAAACAATTTTATGTGGTTGAAATGTGTAGTGCATACCCAATGGCATCTGCAAATAAACAGATGTTAGAATCTCAAGAATTAGGAGCATGACATTGTCGGAAACTCTTGGGTGGCTCCTGCCAAAAAGCAGCCTAGTTTCCCGTTTCTGGAAAGAACAGAGCATCTAACATATTGGCAGAACTTCTTTTGAGCAACAGTATCTCTAGCACCTTCTAAAGCCTTGAATGAAAGCTGCTGTATAAGCAGGCAGTGCTAGCCTGGGAAATTAGAGGGTTCCCTACTTCCAGCAGGGCAGATGCATTCCCATGCCACAGGAGATAGCTCTGCTCCTTTCCCTCTTTTCAGGTTACCATGTATTAAGACAAAGTTCAGGTGAATACTGGAAACACAGAAGTGTCTCCATCACCCACATAGTCAATGCTGTCATCACAGGCTGGAACATGAACGGCAACAAACTAACACACTTTATCTTTTAAAAATAATAAAACAGCTGCATAGAATGAAATGGCTTCTTATTTTCTGAATGGTGAATGCTCTTGGCTTTCTACAGAGCTGGAATTCTCAGTTGCTACTGTTCATGTGCCTCAGGAAACTGTAATGAGGTTAAAAAGAGCAGAATAAAGTTGCAGCTTGTGGATGATAGGAATCCACACAGAAGGTGACTTCTGGGATCTGAAAACAGCACAGCTGGGGGAGGCTGCACAGGGACTGACTGCTTGGAGCTGGGGCAGAGACAGGGGCCTGAGGAAGGCCTGGCATAGCAGGCAAATTATTTTCCAGAAGAAAGGTTAGGGGGGAAAATGGAAAAAACTATGAGCCAAGTGGAAAGGGAGTGTGACAAAAGGATTAGCCCCTACTTGCGCAGACTATAGTAGAAGCCAAAAATGAACTTGGGGAACTGTCAGGAAGAGAAAACTGTTTCTCAGAGACTGTTTCAAAGACTTCCTGAATGCAGACTCCATTTACTTGTTTCTTCCTTTTTCTCCCAAAAAATAAAGGACCTGCTGTGAGCAGAATGTATCCCAACTTCAACAGACATGGGTCTGAAGAGAGTCCCAATCTGGAATCCATGCTGGCCGAACTCCTGGAGCCTTGCTGATACTTGGGTACCATAAAGCTCGAAAGCCAAGCAGGAAGGTGTAAAATCTACAATTTGTCATCAACAGGTAGGTAGCTAATAGTTTAAATTGCACTGCCCGCCAATCTTTTTGTAAAATCAACGTGCTTATTAGGTATATATGTTGTTGCACTGCCCATGTCATGCCATGCTTAATAAGACTTAATCAGGTTGAACGGGTTCTGAGCCACATACTCTCAAAAATAGTACCTATTTTGAGATTGGATGTGCTTTGTTAAATTCTTAAAGAAGAAAGAATTTCTAATTAAAGGAAAACGTGTCTATATAATTCTGGCTCTCAGCTGTTAGCAGCTCTATTATGAGTGCACTTGGGGAATTTGATTTAGTTTTAATTAATAACTCCATAACTTTTCTGACAGAACAGAAGGGTGTACTTTGATTGAGAATACATTTTAAGTCGATGTTTAACATAAAAGGTGCTGGAAATGTCGTTCTGTGGGAAGTGCCAGAGCAGGTTGGGTGTATAGTCCATCTGACCATATCAAACAAAGATGCTGTTGAATGCCTCCGGCAAACTCCCACAGTAGGGTGCCAAAGTGTAGCCGGGTCCTTTCTGGAGAGGCTGGAGCTGTGGTGTGTGAGGTGCCACCTTGCAGTGTCTCCACACATGTGAAACCCCTCCAATGCAGAAGTGCTTGACCTCAACAACTTCCTGTGACAGGGAGTTCCACAGCGAATTGTCTTTGCATATCCCAGTTTTTTAGCTTCCTTCCCTTTGGTTACATTTAGTCTTGTTTTGCGTTACAAAACGTGCACAAAACTTTTTTGCCGTTTTTATCACGTTCCTGTTTGTATTTCTTCCTTTCCAATAGTGCCTGCCTTTGATCTCTCATAAGCCATATGTATCAAGTTTTTAAAGTAGCGCTTTAGGAAAAAAAAGAAAACTAAAAGGGGGGTGGCGGCAGCGGTGGTATTTTTGCACGTTATGACGGATGTAGCACTTTTTGCGTGTCCTGCCCCCCGTCCCTCCGGCTGCGCACGGGAAATCCGTGTAACCATTGACCAGACTGTCAACACGGGCGCCCCGCGCCGCTGGCGGGCGGCGGGAGGAGGCGGCGGCCGCGCCAATGCCGCGGCGGCGGCGCCTGGCCCCGGCCCGTTAGCGGGACGGGCGGCGAGGGAGCGCCGGGCGGGCAGGGGCCGGGAGGACAGGGAGCGTGCGCGGGGGGCCGAGCCGCCCCGGCGAGCGCGGCGGGGAGCGGGGCTGCCCCGCTCGGGACGGCTCGGTGCCGGCCCGGGGAAGGGGCAGGAGGCTGCCGAGGCATCATGGCGGTTGTGGCCCGGGGGGGCCGGGGGCTCCGCGCCGGGCGGCGCGGCGGACTCACCTCGCTCCGCTGGAGCTGGAAGAAGCTGTTGAGATAGCTGGAGCTGAGTGAGGAGCCCAGCTCCGGGGTGCTCTTGGTGTAGCCGAGGTCGGGGTGCTGGGACGAGGAGGGCTCGGGTCTGAAGGCATCGAAGGCGCTGGCCTGGTGCGTGTCTTGCAGCGAGAGATAGACCCAGTTGAGGAGCTGGGCGGGCTGGTACACGGGCGCGGCGCTGGTGTCGATGGTTGACAACAAGCTCATCTTTCCCCCCGGCTCCGCCGGCGCGGCTGGCCCCGCGGTGCCGGTCCCCCTCCCCGCGCTCCGGCAGTGCCGCTCTCCCGTCCCTGCCCGGGGCGCTTCCTCCTGGCCGCCCGGAGGAGAGGACGGGCCCGGGGCTCGCTGCCGCGCCCCGCGCCGCTCTCGCTCCCCTAAGGCCGGCGGCGCCCGCGCAGCCCCAGCGCTCCGCGCAGCACGGGCATCGCTGCCGCCGCCCGCGGGCTCCGCAGGAAACTTTGTGCGCGCTCCGTCCCGCCCGCCCGGCCGGTGCCTGCCCCGCTATCTGTCTTTATTCCCACTCCCGCAGGCAGCGGCGGGGAGGGGCTGCCGGCGCTCCGGCGGCGGCGCCGCGCCCCCATAGGCCTCCCGGCCGCCGCGGGGGTGCAGGGGCGTCCCGGCGCCGCTCCGCCCCCGCCCGCCCGCCCGAGCGCGGCCGGAGGAGCGTGTGCGGCCGCGGCTGGCCCCGCACCACCGGCCCCTGTCCGCCGCGGTCCCACCCGCTCCCTCGCTCGCTCCCCGGCCTTCCTTCTCCTCCTTCCTGAAGATTTTTACTCCAAACGCGCGCAAAGCCCTCCCGAGGGCTCCTCGCTGGGCCCTTTTGGGCTTGTTTTTAACTCGACAACTTTCGCTCGGCTCTTGTCAGCCCGCCCGCTCTTTTTATTCTCATTTCTGTTTCTTGCTGGTGCTGGGAGTTCATTGCAATCTGAGGTTCCTTCTCGTTAAGTCTCTGTCAGAGCTCCAGGTTTGCGAAGCGCTGCGCGGCCGCTGAGGTTGTGCCAAGCCGTGCAGAGTTGGGTTTTCCAAATAAGGCAGGCGAGCGGCGCGATGCTCCCTTTGAAATCCATCTAGGTAGCCCTGGCGTGGGCTCGGGGGAGCCTGGCTCTGGTGGGATACCCGGGAGTTAAAGCTCACTAGGCCTTTTAAGGAGTCGGTAGCACAAAAGAGGATGATGAATGATTCCTGCTTTAGGAAGGAGCCTGAGTGGGTAAGCTGGTAATTACAGTTCATAAACTCTTCCCTGCTGCCCTCCCTGCGATGAGTGGAACAGGGCAGCTATTTCTTGCTTTGGTACAAACACCCCAGTAATCAAACTAGGAGTTTTCAAAGGAGCTCCCAGGAGGTAACTTAAAAACTTGATCGTAGCTCCTTGTGCTCTTTGCTGAGTGATAAAAAGGTAGAAATTAATGTGTCTTCCCAATATGGTTTTGGGGGGGAAAAAAGCCTTCTTTACTTAGATAACAGAAAAAAAAATCTGACCTTTCAAACATCAAAGTTGGTATCTTCGTTTTCTATAATAAGCCATATGTCTCTGCCAAGATATAAGAAAAGTCACTCTTCTGAAAAGGCCTGGTTACAAGCAACAGAAAATGAGGGTCAGTGTACACACAGTAGAAAATGCTGTTCAGTTGTCAGCTGCAAACACCAAAGATGGATGCATTCAACTTCTGAGAGCTGCTAGATAGGGCAGCAGAGCGATCTGTCTGCAGGAATTTAAATGCAGGTGAAGATTCTTACTTTCCACAACTGCAAGGTCAAGCTTAGAACAGCTGAATCAGGCTGAATTCCTTTAGAGAGGCTACTTTCTTTTCTTTGGGCTTTCTTAATTTTTTTTAGTGACAAAGTCCTTGCAGCACAAATGGAGTTCACTCTTTTGTACACTCTATTAGAAGCCCTTTGAGGCACATTTAAATGTGTGTGCATCAGCATAACAAGGAACAAACTTCTACCAGTGTAAAGGGTCTTTATACTCTGTCCACAACGGAGATCATAACAGAAGAATTCAGTCAAATTGCATCCCATACTCAAACAGTTCCATAGTGTTTTAAAGAAGGAAAATATGGATGAGGCTTAGTGACCTAAATTGTGGAGGAGGATTTTCCATGATTTGCTGGTAAATGAAGAAAAACTCCAAGAAACAGATATCACATCTGAGGAACTTGCCTTTCTGGCAGATGGTATTTAAAAAGTCAGGATATGGTAGAAAGTCCAGAAGGGGGAACTAGGCTGAAACTGCTTGTTTTGTTGTTGTGGACTTGTTTGGATTTTTTTTTTTTTTTTTTTTTGTAAGCATGCTAATTCCTTCCTTAAAGACAGTTTCTATTCTTATCACTTCCCTCTTTTACTTGCTAAGTTAAATATATGTATTTGTATTTTGCAGCTCCACTATGCACTCTGTTTAGTAAGATGCTGTGAAGGAAATAGAAATACTGAACAGGCAGAAAAGATAACAAAAAAGGGTTCTTGTAGCAATAGAGGTCAAAAGCAGAAGTCAAAATAAAAGGTGGTCAAGGTGGTGCAATGTTTTGGATGAAGAATTTTTGCTCTATTTTGATACTTTTTCTCCTAAATTGACTATGGCTCTTATTGTAGGTGGTTGGATTGCTTTAGTTAGACAACACAGTAGAGATTGCTGTGGGACAGGGGAAGGTGGAGTTAGGGTGCATTTATTGCAGCAGCTGCATTCATGAATGCAGCAACCCCTTGTGATGTGAGGGGCACCGTGTGCTCCACCAGGTGCATTTGAACACCCAGAGCTTCTGGCTGTCACTGCCCTTGGCAGCAGCCCTGGTGGCTTCTAGTAACCATGCAGAGCAATGAGTAAATTGAATAGATCCTTTGTTTGGCATATCAGGAAAGGGAAAGGCTGCAAGTGCATGCACTATGAGGAGCCTAGCTGAAAAGCACCCACTCTGAGGTTCAGTTGTCATCCTGGTCTCCTGTGCAATTTCTTCTGGAACAGTTTCAGGCAGTTCCTTCTCATTTCTGTATTTAATACTGCTCTTAGCTTAGCAAAATGCTGCTGCCACACTTGTTACAGTCCACTTAGGTTCAAGATAGCAATTTTTTCATTGGAAGGCCACTCTTCACCTCTGGGAGTTGTAGATGAGTGAGGAGAAGATGGATATAAATGGTCTGTTGAGCAGAGACATGACAGTGCAGAAAAAAGTGCTAAGGTCAATTGCATCTCTTCTTCTCAAATACTTGAGACAAAAGTGCCCAATAAGGTAGTGAGATGGCTTTGAAATATCATCTAGACATGCACAATATCTTCCTATTGATTATTTTGGAATGGAGTATAAGTGACATTAACTACATAGATTTTACATCAGCCTTATGTTGCCAAAACATCTATGAATCCTCTTGGTTTTATTTGAGTACTGCTAATGAAGTAAAAAACAACTGGAACTTTAACATCAAACTTTGGATAAATGGAATAGCTGAAGTGACTTGGAAAATAGAAGCCTTGAAACAAGGCAAAGGCAAACACAGGGACAGGATTCAGCTGCTTCAGTCCTATTGTTTAAGTGATCATGTATTTGTCCAAAATCTCCTTATAACTGCTCACTCAGCCTGTCCCCTTAGTGATCTGGACATCTTGTGGCTGCACCCTTCCCACAACATCTTTGCAAGAGTGAGGAACATGATTTTCCACTTCTGGCCAGGACTTGTTTCATAGTCTAATGTATTTATGTTCTTGCTTGCAATGTTCATACCTTTAGATGATGTCAGCCTTTAAACTATATATGTGATTTGATTTTTTTTTAAAGAAAATGCTTATGCTCCTCCATATTTTAAAAATGCATGTGCCCTACTACAGATATCCTGGATTCTTGTGCTTTTAAATTTGTCTTGGTCTGAATTGCTGTCTTAGTCATCTCCCAGATTAGATGGGGCTCCAGTAGGAAAATAGAGCAAATATCCAAAACTGCCAGTAAGACTAGAGAACATGGGTAACTTGAGCCCACTGCATTCTCTGGTTTCTGTAATCAGGCTATACATAATGCAATAGGCTGTTCATCTGCAGTGTAGCTGAAATATTCCAAACAAATGTTTTTCATCTGCTGCAGCAGAGATTCTTATCTTATTATGAAATAATTTTGCTATGTGGTGGAAACTGTGTGAGCCCTCCTCGAATTATGAGAAGGCAGTTCAGCAGAGTTGTAAACTGAAAGCACATCTGCATGTGGCATTTGTGAGTTATGGATGTTAAAACCACTTGTATTTGCTGGGTAGGTACAACAGTTCCACTGCCAGCAATGAAATGTAGCATTAACCAAAGTTAGAGTGAGTCTGGGAAATGCTTGTGCTTGGGTATGGAACTCCACGGATTTTTGCACCTATCTAAAGGATCAGCTGCAACCCAGTGCTTAAGTATAAAAGTAAAAATTCCTGTTTTCTTCCTCCTATAGTTTTGGCATAGAAAATCCTGGAAATATATGGGTATAAGATATAGTTCATCCATATGTAGAATGTTAGTAAATATATACCATATGCAGTAACAATGCTGTGGATAGTGTGTGAAGCGCAATTCCTGCAAGGCTGTCTCAAACCACCAAGTAGGTAACAGATCCTCTTGGAGCACACAGATCCTGCACCTGGCCAGTTTGTGGTTTCCAGGCCTGGGGCCTCCTTGCTTGCTCTCTGTTAAGATGTCAGTGCATTGCTGAGTAATTGCATGAAATAAGCCCTGGATCTGAGTAGCTGTGTGAGAAATAGTGGTTGATCTTTCTGTATTGTTTTACAGAGCTTCCTGTACCTTCTTCAGCTGCAGCACAGTCATCTGAATTGTTCCATTATTTCAGTTTTGAAAGGCAGCGTCTCCTTGTTTCTGGTACTGATCTAAAAGTTCAGCATCCATGTCCAAAACAGTAGCTGAGGTATCTTGTTCCTTCTCCTTAGCCCAGCCTAACCCCTTTGACTTGCTTGACCCAGGAATCCAAGAGAGGGAGTGCAAGGAAAAGAGCAGAGGAAATGAAAAGAGCAGTAGCAGTTAGGGAGAAGTGAGTGCAGGGGAGCCCATCTGCCTTACCTGAAGTGCCTGCATTGGAACAGCTGCTGATGGTTCCTTCTGCAGGCAAGTGGGGAGGCCCAGGGATTTTGTGTCACCTGGGGATCCCTCTAATCTGCTTTATGCTGTAGGAGACCCCTTGCTGAGGGTTAAATGGCCTCAGTGCTTTGTAACTGGTTCCCAGCTGAAGAATAAGTTAGGTGCTGTTTATGGAGCCCCTTAAAGACCTTGGTGTTAAAGAGGGCAGTAAAAACCCTCAAGCAACTACCCAAGAAGGGAAAGGAGGATTCTTTACTTGATCCT